CAGATGAGAGTGGGATGTACTAGGATGCTTCAGGATGGAAGCTGGTAGGAACTCCTGGTAGATATATGTAGCCATGGTCCCTAGCAAAGGGGACAAGCAAAATGACTGGTGTGGAGGCAGCCATATCAGAAGAATTAGCAAAATGAGTGTCTTTTGGAGGGAGTGCTGTAGAAATGTGTGGAGTGCGCAAATCCTTTCCAATCCTGGAAGGTAGGATTGCGTGGCTGAGCACTACAAGCGAGTGTGGGAATGGTTTCGGTGTCTGCAGAACTGGTGGAGATATGTCGAAAACCGGAATGCCGTACACAGGCACTTAAGAATTTTACCAGCACTTAACTTGCCTCCTCCTTTTTCTTTGGCATTGACAACCTGTTCTTGTGCAAGGGATGACTGCCGACATTGCTGGCTGTCCTTCTTCGCATGAGGGCTATGGTCTTCACCTCCACTCATCAGCTACATCCATGTCCACCTCACCAAACACCTTTGGTGTGTGACACCACCCAATCCATGAGGCCATGATACCCCACAGGGCCTGCTCAAATGCTCGACCCCCTCCCCTGCCCCTCCCACCTGGTGGCAGGATTGCTCCTTCAGGAAATTCCCACAGCATTGCCACCTGCAAATTCATGTGACCACACTCCACACCACAAGTCATCACTGGCCTAGTGAATTTGGGCCCATTTCTTGGCAAAATACCCATTATTACATGGGTTATGTACAGTAGCATTGAAATGAGTCCCAAGGAATGGGCAAGGAGTGCATGTAGCCCTGACTCACTTGCTCCCCCGTGCATGTGCCCTGCTTAGTCAGTAGCTGTGGGCACAGCCACCTGCAAATTTTCTGTGCATTACTGCAAAAGTCACACAACTAGCTGTTTTATTTTTGTTTGTTTAATGTTACAGATGCAGCGCCATACATGTGTGTTTATACATGCACGGAATTTAAGATTCTAGTTGGGACATGGATTATCAGTGATGTATACTAGATTTCTAATAACAGTCGAGCTTGTACATCATGGACACCTTGGATTTCAGTAGATTCACAACACTACATGACACACTCATGAAATTATAAACTTAGTATGCGTGATGGGTGGGAATCAGATCAACCTGCTACTGAACTATGCCCGGGGTGGATACATAGCTCGACTCACCAAACACCCACTGTGCCAGTCCACATTCTATATGTCACGAGTCACAATGAGATCGATGATCAGGAGTGGCTTTGGCCATTCATTATTCCAAAACACCACACCAGGGTAACGTGTCTCTACATCTGCTCCTACATGAGTTTCAGTGATGTTGTTAAACTCGGAACATATGTGTGCCAGAAGGCAAGCACAGTGTTGTGGTCCAAGATGCGGATCTATAAGTTGTTTGTCTCACCGAAAAGACCCGCTCAATGATTTGGAGTGGCGGAATCGGCTTCTCCCCTGCCAATCCAATGGACAATAAGGAGGTGGTGGGAGGGTACACCATGGCTTCCCCTTTAAAAACGAAGCACTCAATTCACAGGAAGTGCAAAGCGTCACAGAAACGAGTATACCATTCATTTACGATATTCTGCCATCACAATCTGCATTCTTACCCTCATAACACGGACGCCCAAATTCATCACAATGGTGTCAACCTGTGGGTCACCACTCACCCTTCTTCATCCTAGGTGCTAGCTCATGCAACGATGCAGGCGATCATACCCACTTGTGGGTGCTCTGGCCCAACCCGCCTGCGGGCGCAATCCCTGCCAACATTGCGAAAGCTTGCGTCGAGAGCGGTCGACGCACGTATGAGGTTCCTGACACCAGTATTATTGGTGATTGCGGAGAACAGCTGAGAAGGAATAATGGCTTTCCATCGAATTCTCGACTTCCTTAGTGGAGACTATCCATAGGAGGCGAGCAGACCAAAACTCCTGCGACATCGACCACCTTTGTCTGCTCTAATTGCTTGTGCAACATGTCTTACTGTAAACCACGAGTAAGAACGCAATCACATGTGTCCTTTCTTCGTACAACTTGCCCCACGAATGTTTCAGAACATCTTGTGAACAAATGCGCACTCACATAATTCAGGTATGGCGTATGATCTTGCGTGTTTCAGTTGAGATGAAGTAGTGGTGCCGCCTGCGGTAATAACCGCGTGCTTCGAGGTGTGGTCGCCGAACCTCTCCCGATTTTCAAGTCCAGCAAATCCGTATACCTGAAAAAGATCAACCTGCAGCTGGGTGTATTATGCCAGGCTCACTGCCGAAATGGTTGCCAAATCCTGTCTCCGATTCAAATTCTGCATTGTCTGAACCTCGTGTCTACTTCCCTAGGTGTCGCCCCAGACCAACCCGTAGTGCTTGAATTGCACACTGGGCCAGCAAGGCTAGTTTGATGTTCCTGAAAACCCATACCATGCTCTGACACGGACTCCTTGTATTTGTTCTCTCTGCCTAATCTCTGCCCACCAGGTTTCCTCTAAATTACTTGCGCACGTGTAAGAATGTTGTCACGGTCGGAAGGCCCACGGACAGCATCACCACCTCCCGCGAACTCGATGCCATCAAAAAGGGTCGGTTAGGGTCGATTATTTCATGCTGCAACGCAATGACGTTCAGAACCATCCATTCAAGATATAGTGCTCGCACAGCTACTCTCCTTGTGCCCATATTACGTCTACTGCCGTAGCATGGTGGCGCGATTTGACTTTTGAGCCTTGCTGACCGACCATCCCTTCTAACTTCGCTTGCCAGCCAGTCGTATGAACGTAGCGATGGTGTTTAGAGGCTGTGCAGGACCGCGGACTGGACACTTTAGAAGCCAGGACATCTGTCGGATGGGAATGGGTTGTTGGGAGCGATGAGTGCAGACAAAAAGGATGGACAGCAGCAGAAACAAAGTGGCAATGAGCACTAATGCAGCACAGTGGTCCGTGCGTCACCCACAACGTGATAATGGCGTAGTATTGTGCTTCCAGCCCATGTCAAGCTTCACTTCACTATCAAGCCTGGTTCGGGTGATGCAAACTAGTGGAACCCAGAAAATCCGTGGGGAGCGCTTCTCTTTACGGAATTACTTTGCTTATAATCCAATCAACTGATACTAGAGCTCGCTATAGATTTTGTGATATCAGACTCATCTAGGTCTTTGTGAATATCGACTTCTATGCATCTCGGTCCACTTTCACCGAACCACTGGTTGCCGCAAGTCTACTTATCTGCTGTTCATTTGTTTTGATGTGACTCTTGACATCCTCTCTTGACGGTGGCCAGAGGAGAAGAGATTCGACTCATATGATTTATCAGAAGCCAGCGGATGAACGTGAAAATAGTACTCATGTTCAGAAGCTGGTGGTAGACGTGCTGTATTTACAAGGACCCGCCAATTCCGGACAGTCAACGGCGGCCAATGCATATGTGGGCACAGCGCGGTGTCCTCAAGGGCATACTGCATGGGGTTAGTAGGACATGAAAGAAGTATAACAAACGTTCATCTCATGGTGTACTCATGGTAGTTACTTGTGTCGCTATCGCGCCACAAAGGAGGGAAAAATTGTTTTCTGACCGTCTGTTGAAAACCGAACTGCTTCCGGGAGCTGGAGCGCATTATGTGATACTTATCCTCACACAGTACTCGTTTCTCGCCGTTTCATCAGATGGATGTCTGAGTATCATTCATTTGAAATAGGTATTTCTCGGTGGAAGTACTCCAGAATGCACTGCAAAGTGGTGAAGCATTCGAGTTCTCCGCCAGGGATGATAGTCAGTTTGTGATTTATTCCCTTCTTTGTCAAGGTACTGCCAGACTCAGCTGGCGACGAGTGTGTCCCGGATTAATTGTGGGTCTCCAGTGCAGCGAACGTCGAACGACCCACATGACGGGTAGTGAACAGCGTCTGCTTGCTGTTCTCTGTACTTCCCGAAGAACATGTGTAGGTAGGCACAATCATGAGGCGTCGAAGTTTAAACGTCCCAATAAAACGGTCCTGGTTTGCGTATGTGATCGTGATCCTTATGCAGCGGGGCCTCAATCAGATCAAGGGGAATTGCCAGTAACGCTGGACTTGCTGCCAACCTTCACGTTCCCCTGAGCTACCTGCATCAACGACAGATAGCAGGAAGGGAACCATCTCACTTCCAAGTCATTCCTCTGCTTTTCTTCAGTTGACAAGCCATCACCAGGTGCTCGACAGAGCACCGCACGATTCCCCGATAGCCGGTTCGTTCAGTGTTCTTGTTTTCATCGCACAGTCTGCATATTCGAAGTTGGTAGTTATATGCCACTGGAAGTGTGGTTAACCCGATTGAAAAGCTGCTTCCGAGTCGACGGTACAGGGGGTTCAGCAGTTGGCGCTCCACTGTGATAAATGGTCTTTCAGGCAGCGGACATGGTCTCGCCGATTCCTCTGTCAGTATTGTACCGTCGTCAGATCGAACACGTGGGAGAATATATGTAAGCACAATCTTAGCTTGGGTGAGTTTTCGTCCCGGTTGAAGGAAATCTTTTTTCACATATCCTGGAGCTCGCACTCATCTATAAAGGGACCATCTGTTCTGCTTCCGTTGGCAGTGCCAAGTGAATGAAAGTCAAGTCTAAGCGAGAATTGATGCCTAATTTCGGTACGCGTCGACGGTGCGACTTGAACTCTATCGCAATGCAGCTCGGTGGAGTACAGGTTTACCCTTTGTCTCTCTCCACCCTTCTGACTCGTGGAGTGTCCCGTACACCAGGCCTTTACTCTGGTCAGTACACTGCTCACAGTCGTTATCGCATATTGTGTGCAGGCCTGATTCACGCAGGCGGAGAATTCCAGCGAGTTTTTAAACTCCAAGGTGGCAGAGACAATAAACGAGAGTGTTCAACTGGGGCCAAGACCAGAGATGGGATTTCGCGAAGCGCCTGTGCTCTCTTCAGTGAACCCTGCGAGTATCTGGAAAATGGAAAGTCGTCAGTCAGATTCATTGTCCCACGATGCAGATTTCTGGTCAAGGTCCAAGCCAAGTGGAAACATAATAAACCAATAAATACGGGCTTGTGCCATATGTGCAGGGGGACCACTCACGATCTACACCGCCAGTCCTGAAGTTTTCAAGGCACGAAAGGTAGTACACAGCTCGACTCACCGTCCATATGTGGCACCAGTTTAAGATTAATGTTTCATGGGAAAATCAAAACGAAACCGATGGTCAAGAGTGGAGAAGCACCGCGCCAGCCTGGTAGTAGTCTGGTAGCAGGTGACATCATACAGCTATTCCTCCGTACGTTTCAACAATGCTGTTAAACTCTTACCCTATGTGCGTTAGATGGCTAGCATTGTGTTTTGGTCCAGGATGCCGATCTATAAGCTGTTTGCCTCAGGGAAGAAACACGCTCGATGGCTTAAATTGGCGGAACCTTGCTGCTCCTCGAACAATGCCTCCAATGGACCTTGTGGAATGCCTGGAATTCGTGGCTTCCCCTTTAAAAGCGAAGCACTTATTCCACTGGAGGTGCAAAAAGAGCATATATCATCTATTGCCCTCATGGCCCGGAGACGCCGGTGCATTACATTGGTGTCACTGGTCACTCTTCTTTATCCTACTTGTCGTTAGCTCAAGCAATAATGCGGGCGCTCTGGGACCCGACCTACTTGCAGGCGCAACCTGTACCATCGCTGCGGGAGCCCCTGTGGAGACAGTCGTCGCATGGATGAGCCCCCAAATGAGCTCGCGTTATCCGTGTCAGTTGTTGCCACCAGTATTGGCGAACTTAGGTAACGATTGAGAAGCAACTGCGGGGGTGACGTGATTTAAAGTTACCTGCTAATCATTTCTCTCTGCTCATTATATCCCTCGCTGGTATATAATGGTTTGATGTTTGTAATACTCAGTCATTTGATTACGATCTGGTTTATTTTTCCAGTCCTTGCCACCTTTGAGCCATGGGCTACAACAGAATATGTTTTTAACTGTAATCTTAATCGAGTGTTACCATCGGATGTAGACTGCTCCTCGACCACCTCGTTGCTCCATCCGTATTGCTTTGGTGCTCTCGGACCACTCGTTGGCGTAACCGCATTAAGGATACCGCGCTGGAACAAGAACGGCATCAATCGGGATAATCCAACCAATTGCAGGGCAGTGATTGTCTTCTCGAGGAAGGGGACTCTACCACAGCCACAGTAGTCACCATCGCCAAGAACGACGCTTCTGGCAGCCCTTGGACAATCGGGGCAGTCATGGCGAGTCCGAGCAAGGATGAGGTAAAGCGGGTTTCCCATGTCGCCACGTCTTGCCGCTCATCTCTTGCTTCAGCAACATGTCAAGTTTGAGATAGATCAGTTTGGGTCTTTGACTCAGCCCTCGACAACGGAATACCAAAGACGACAAATTCTCGTGCGGTCCTGACTCAGTGCCTGCATCACGCTTTAACCACGTGCATGCTCCTCCCTCCCCTCCCTCCTCATCGACCACATCTACGCATTAGCGTCTGAAGCTCGCTGACGGTGCCCTCACCACCACGACTCCAATGATCCATCCATAACTAGAATAGGAATCTTGTCCACCAATCAAGTCCATATCTCTCGTCGAGCGTTGCTCGTTTTCTCCTCTGCAGAACACAGGAGGGTTCATCAAGAGTGGACAGAGACACTCATGCTGAATTTTCACGAAGTATGGAGGGTCTGTCCATAAAGACGGTCTGTGTCCGGGCAAGTATCGGCAGCCTCAATCGCATGAGCCCCCTAACACCCGTGGAAGCGTTGTATGGAGGGAAAATCGGTTGCGCGGGAAACACAAAGGAAAAGAGAGAAAGGAGCATGGTAGTTTTGCTCCAATGGTTGTTGGAAATGGCGCTGGCGATGCGCGCACCCGCAGTCACGAGCAACAAGCTTTGTCAGGTCGTGACGAGACTCCTGAAAAGTCTACCAGTGCTCGTCTCAGTTCACGCTAAACGTGGGTCTGCATCCTCCGCACAAGTACGCCCACAGGTTGTCACGACTCAGAATTATTGTCTATTGCTGTAAGTACGACGTCTATCTCGGTTTCCTCTTCCCAGAGTTCCCCACGTCTCAATATGGAACAGTACTATGCATTGGCTTTACTGGAGCAAGTGCCCTTGTCTTCAGATTCTGGTTCGTTGGATGACTTTGATTCGGGTTCAGACTTGGGGAAATTGTCTTATTTTACCGACTCATCTTTGGATTTCTGATGGTGTGCCTGGCACTCACCTAGTTCATAGAGGGCCTACAGCAAGGGCTATAGTCAGGGCCTGTCTTGCGCAGCTACATAACAGGCACTATACACAGGAACGTGATTGCAGCTACGAGCGAGTCCGATGCCGTGAAGACTTGTGTCTACCATCTTTCCCTCGTCGTTCTCCCTCACCTCGTTGGTGCTGATGATCACATGATGGGAAGGCGAGACTCGCCATCCTATCGCCGTCATGATTCACCCCCGCATCGATCGCACATGAATGAGACAGAGAATGGGATTGTGGAAGGCCATATGCCGATGGATGTGTCATCCGCTGTAGGTCGGTGAGGTGGACTACTGGAAAATTGATAAGGGCTCAGCGAACAGGCCTACCTTGTAATTCTTTGGCAGGAGAGTGGGAGACAACAATATCGTCATGGGAGTAATTATATGGATGAGGCTGCGCACCCGTTATATGAACGATCTGTGCACACTCGATCAGGCCATCAGTATTCATCTGTAATGTCTGCGTGTCCCTTAAGGAAGGCTGTTTTTCTCTTTTTTTTTGCTGCTTTTCGCAGAATTGGGTGTGGTTAGTGGAAGGAGACCTTTGAGAGGATTACCGGAGATGTGCAGATGAGGTTAAGCAGGCTTATGCAAGGTAACGTTGTCCGCATACTTCTGTTTCCCCGTCCTCATTCCCTCCCTAGTTGCTTTGTTTGCAGATGAGACACATGAACGGCCCAGATACGTGCTGTGCACGATTCGGATGGCCAGCCCGCTTTGGAGTAGACACGGAAAACCCCCGCAACCTATATACATTTGTACCCTTATTTCCTGCTGATTGAACAAAACAATGACCAGCTTTGCGTTCTGAGAGATCAGGTTCGATCTGAGAAGCAGTGGCTGCCAAGAAATCAGGTAGTATCTGGTTGATAAAACGTACTCGTCTTTTTAGGGTTGTCATCCTTTGACCCTCACTTTATCGCATCCGATCCCGTTGACGCATTCCACTTGCTCCCGCGGCGGTGCCCCCCTCCACCCTCCACGGGACATGGTTTGACATGTTGAAATATGTAGGAGTGTGTCCTGCACAGCTCACGACAGGACTCCGATGCCACCCACAGCAATTTGCTATGGTGCGAGTCGCACCTTCTATCTGCGGGCATACGTTTCATCACCGCTCGTGTCCGGTGCGCCGGTTCCTATTCCGTCTACTTACTTCTGTGCCGTGTCCCTTGAACTTGTTTAGAGTTAAGTTTGATCTCGGGATATGTATTGCGCGCACGGTAATGATTATTTTCTTCGTACTTTTAGACGCCTCGATTTAAGTTCCTCCAGCTCAATATCGGTGATTGCCGGGTTGGCTTGCGGTTCGGTAATACAGGTGCCTAGCTATTCGCAATGCGAACGACTTGATTCCTGCCGTAAGTGTGATCAGATTGATTTCGCAGTGCGGCTTTACCGTGTGGATAGTGGATATCTGGAGGCAATCTTCTTCCCAGGGCTCACGCTGACCGCAAACTGTTTGCATTCGTTCTGTACGGCGGTTCCCTTGTTAACAAAGTTGTTGAGAACTTCTCGTGGTCTTGGTTTCTAACTTCGTTCCTAGTTACGCTATGTTATCAGCTTATTGCGGTGGCTGATTCTGGCATTACAAATGTTTGGTTCACAAAGGAAACGGATGCTCCAGCTGAAGACAATTTCCCTGTTTTGAGGTCAGGAAGGTTTCTAGTAAATGGCATAGTAGTTGATAGGTGGGTCATGGACCTACATCAGCGCCTGCGGAGCATCACGACTAAGCCTGCATTCATTGCTCAGGCCGATGACTGAACGACAAAAGCCCCTGACGGAAATAGAGCTTCTCACGAAAGTGTGGATAGTGCATGGTTCATATACACACCAGTAAAATGGAAGCTTCTGCTCCTTTGTTGTCTGCGCACACCGATTCACTTTCACATACCACTTCTGGGTGTCGTTTTCCGTGAGGTTTCGTCGTTTGTGCTTCACAGATCCGATGCATGCGCGTCAGAATGTAGACGTTACGTTGATAATTTGATAATACGCACGTCTGTGCTCCTTTGAAAAGATATTGTTTGCCACTCGATCTCATTGCATGATTTACAGGGCCACGACGCCGTTGGCCGTTCACAGCAGATCCAACAGGCTTGGCCTGCGTTTCTTGCGTAAAGATTCCATTGCACGCACACGCCCTGGGAGTATAAAAGAAGATGTGTTGTCACTAGAACCATAGCCCATCGACAATGTCCAACAGAACATACCCAGAGCGCTTCCCTGCTATCCCAGAGGGGGAGGGGATGGCATCAGAAAATTCCACACTTGATCTCTCCCATTTTCCTGTTCAAATAGTTTGCCCAAATTGCAAGTCTGCTTACCTGTATTCCCAAGGCCAGGTATTTTACAATGTTGGTTCACAATGCCAGCACGGCGACGAGGTCCCGGTTCACTTTCAGGGCGTCAATACGTAAGTCACCGCTGTCTCCTTCATTCGGCATACACCTCATGCAGCGACACAGGCGTTCATACACACTTGGTAGTGCTGTGTGATACGCCATACCGTAAGTTACTTATCTAGTGCTGTTGCACCTGCGCAAAAGCTCTGTCGCTAGGCTTTGATGATTGTATTGCTGGTGTTAGTAACACCTTGGAGGACGAGCGTAAAACTAACGCTGTCGCTATCCCGGCTGCTGAGCTGTATATGATGTTTGTTGTATGTTTTCTGTACATTCAACCTCAGTTCAGAAATATGTATATTACAATAAAACACTTGCTCTCTCGAAGTTTCGACATATTTCCTGGAATTTGGATACATAGTCGCATGATATCTTCAGTACACATCGTCTATTCACAGCGAGCAGGAGAATCATCACTAATGAATTCAGCTCAACAACGAAGGAGTGACCTTGGGGTGTAACAATACAGTCCGGAATCACAAAGTTGGCCTGGGCCTACTGGTCACAGCAAGGTAGGGTTCAAAGGGCCAACTTGGGCCGCCAAACCTCCTAAAAATGGACATGGAATGCGCAACTAAACCTTACACGATTTTTGTCTCCGAAGTGAAACTCCGATGCTGTGGGTGTGTGAACAAAACTTTCTGGTGACAGTTACAAGATATGTCTGAGCCGGTCCTCTCGTCTTTACCCCGTGTCCTCGAGTAATTTATGGCTATCGCACCACGAGTCGTTCTCCTGTCCACTGTCGCCGCTAGCTTTCGAGCAGGTCTACACCGGCGCCAACTACGAAAAGAAAGGTGTCGACATTCCTGCCTCACTATTTTGATTCAGGCTTCCTAGAAGGCCTGATGAGCTGGCTGCAAAGGTGGTGTCCAATGTAAGCATGCCTTGTGTCATGATATGTGGATGAGCGTGCCGTCCATGCCCCGTGGATTCTATGGTCTCTCAAGAATTGTAATCGTTCCGCATATAGTTCCGACCTGACAGTTTCGTCGTGTCCACCACCTACGATGGACTCCAGCTTAACAATGTCAGCCTCATTCATGAGGTCCTCGATCAAATTAATTCCCTTACAGACTAAAGCCCAACTACAAGGCCACCGATGGGTACTCAGGAGCAGGAAAGAAGCCGTTATTGAATTCTCATCGCCTGATGTCCAAGTGCAAAACCATTTCGTGTCGGACACCTCCGAAATACCACAATCAGCCCATTCCTGTCGCAGTTGGGATGTTACCTCACTAAATATCTTGACGCTCGAGGAGCACGGCTGACCCATAACACTCCTTGCCGCCATTCAGTTCGGCACGATCGCAGTCGGTTTCCAGGAACAAGGCTCTCTGGAAGAGCTTAAAAAGGATGGTATTAGGCATCTCTACGGCGTATACATTAAGGTATCCCGAGAGGCAGAATGCGATCTTAACGTTAAAGTTGAAGCCGCTTAATTTCATCGTCAAGGAGTACGCTGATGAATACGAGCGATTAAGCCTCTGCTTTGGTCGCTACACGGGGGAAAGCGGTCGGCAGGGAATGACGAGACAAGTAGCACAACTTGACCAGCTGGGATTAATCACTGACGCGAATGGCGTCAGGTTTGTCCACCTGGGAAAGATGGAAAATGGGGAAATTGATCCTCCGCGAAGCAGGTAATGTATTTCCTATATCAGATTACATTAATTCACCATATGATCGAAGATGGTACATCTCTGGGTGTCACTGATCCAACGTACGAACAATGCCATTTCGACGAGATGATGCGTGCTGTCGCTTCGCGGCAGGATCTTCATCTTGCCCAATTCTTCAAAATCTTAGATCTGATGGGTTTCCCATAGGTCAATCGACTCATGCACCTCAATTACACATTGGCATCGGGTGTGAGTACAAGGAAGGGTACCCCTGTCTTTCTCGATCAGATCATCAAAGAGGCGTCATCTGTCGTGTGCGAGAAAATGAGGCGGAAACAAAGAAAAGAAAAACGCCATTGAGGATCCTGAGATGGCCAGCCATGAAGTGGCTGTCGCAGGCATTAAGATCCAAGACAAGTGGTACGTGATCCACCAATTACTGATCATCCATTGACATGCTGGCGGAATAAACAGTTACACTTTCAATTAGCACAGGAAGTTATCCTGTCAAGGCGACACCAGATCCCTACTTGCAGCACGCTCACAACTTTTGCCCTTGCCACCTCCATCCTAGATCGACGCATCGCATGCCTGTGATATCGCGGTCCTACTCGGGTCCTACCCTGATATTACCGATACAGCTCTGAAGACGCTGTGGAGTAGTGACATTTTGCCTTCTGCTTGTCCCACACCATTATTGCTGCATGAGAGACCCTTGTGACTAAGGGCCTGGGTATTGCGAGGGCGGGCTATGGCTGGAACTCTGCATGCAGGATACAGTGTGATCAGTACTTGTCAGGTGCCAGACTGTTAGAGAGGATGTAATACTAGATTGGTCTATCAGATGGTTGTATGTGTATTCTACCAAGTCAGAGTGAAATTCACATTTCTCCAGTTTAGCATAGAGGCCATGCTGCCAAAGTTGGCATAACACTTCCTTTATGTGCTGCCAGTTCTTGGTCATTTGAGTACATAAATCAGTATGTCATCTAAGTAGACCACTATGCATACATCAAGCAGGTCTGTGAAGATAGTATTGATGAACAGCTGGAACACTGCTGGTTGGAAGACTGAAGGGCATGACAAGCCATTCAAAGGACCCACATCTAGTGTGGAACATGGTCTTCCATGTTGAAGAATGAGAATTTACAGCAGGCACATTTTTGATTATGTAATATCCCTCTGTTAGGCAGAACATTTTTTCCTCTTTGCACCTCAGTCTTCAACCAATTTGAGACTGAGGTGAGGTCATTTGTTTATTATGCCAAGGACTATAATACTAATGCTACTTAGTATATTCCTTTCTTCTTAGTGTTCTGGTGGTACACACTCATTGAGCCTCATTTCCTCATAAAAGGTTATGAGCCCTGTCTGAAGCTTCTTCACAAACTGCTAGAGGAACTACAGATGAGCAAAACTTAGACCTGTTATGTTTCACCCCTGTTTGTACCTTGTACATGCCTTGTTTCTGTTCTGTTGGACTTACATTCTTTTTCAGCCATTGTTTCTCTGATCTGATGGCCCTGTACTCCCACTACTAGTGTTAGTGTCTTATAACATGCCAAGGACATGTGTCATTGTTGTTCAACCAATGGCATAGATAGCTCATTACATGCAGATGCCTCATGGTCCACTTTCTTGTAGTATTTAGACTGCCAGCTCAATGTTACACCCACATCAGGGGTCTTTCCTTTTTTGACACTTCGCAGTCACATGCATCATGTGCCTTGTCGCATCTCTCATAATTGTCACCATCCTAGGGGTTTGTATGCTGAGAGGCTCCTTTGGATCTCCAGCTGTCAAGGTATTTCCAATACCTGTTGAGGCTGCACCTCCCACTTGATCTGGTATTCCACCGCCCTCTCTGATGGATGACTTGTTCACTTCTTGTTCCATTGACTTGTCTATATTGCTCTGATGTTGTACTATAGCTCCAGTGTCTGGCTCCTCACTGTGCATCGATTGCACAGCTGGTATAGCCTTTGTCCCCCTGCCTGCCCCCATCAAATGACACTGTATGACTCCATCTGACTTATCTATTTGACTGATTGTTCATTGATTACTGTGGATGTGCATTGTGATGTGCCTTGTCACAACTGGTATGGTACTCATACTTAGGGGTATATAAACCCATGTACTTTACCCTGTATCCTCAGTTTTTTGATAGCTTGCAACTCAGCTTCATCCCTTCACTCTGTCCTCATTCTCTCCTCCATGTGATCTCAGAAGAACTCACCAGAAGGAGCAAACCTCTGTTGGACCACTGCAATAACTGAGCCATAGGGGTAATGACATGTTTGGCCTGTAGACTCCCCCTTGTGTGCTTCATGCCTATTCCATTTGAAGAAGTCACCATGCTTGGGCATAACAAAATTGAAAAACTCAACACAGCTTTTGGGACTTGTTGACCTCTTCATGAAAGTCTACTCATCCCTGGTTACTGAACTTCAACAAACCATCTCTTAATGCACTAGGATCATTGCTCTCCCTACATGTAAAGACTAACTTGCCTTTGTCCTGCTTGTCAAACAAGATCAAGAAGCATCCCTCTACCCTCAATCAAATCCACTGCTCTACAGGCAGCCACTAGGCTTTAATAGATTGCCTCCCTAGAGCCAGCGCTCGTGTCTCCCTACATGTAAAGTCACTCATGTACAAACTGTAAACAACCCCTCCATGCTGACAGGTTTCTTTCAAGAAATAAATCCTCCCTCAGCCATCATTGTCACTATCTGTTAAAGTGTCTAATTCACAGAAATCGAAGCCTCCAGTCCCTCCTCATCCTAATCTGCTTGGGCTCAGTAGGAATCCACTGCTACCACCATCCTGCTGGGAAGACTTGGCCCTTTGGTTACCTCAACAAATCCCTGGTTATCTTATCTATCCTGGTTTAGGGATTCGGAAGTCACACTTAGTTCAGAAGAAGAAGACAATCAGAAGTCTGAGACTTCTTTTGGATCAGTCCTCAAGGAAGAACAAGAAGCACACAATCAAGAAGAAATGTCCATGACAATCAAGTCATGGAGATTCAGTTCCTGAAATGCCCCCAAGGACCATTTCAGAAGAGGAACTGAGACAGAGGTTGGAAGAACAAAGAGTTGCAATGGTGGAGGTGCTCTGCAGGGCAATGCATGCAACATCGAGCGACCTGTTCCCAACAGGTACACCTACTGACTCAGCTCTGCAAGAATGGTATCATAGGAACTTTGGAAAGGCTGTACCCCCAGAGCTGCCCACTGGTGGTAGCAGTAAGGGAAAAGCCAGAGCTGATGAAGATGATGACTATGCAGGCTGCCCACCCAACAGAGGTTGGGAGTTTAATGTCAGGCATCCTGGAGAATATGATGGAAGCCACAATGGGCTTCAGACCTGGATTATGCAGGTCGAAGGATACTTGAACCTGAACAAGCACATTTACAACACAGAGTCCCTCAAGATTTTGTTTGTGCTCACATACATGACCAAGGGCACTGCCATGTCATTTGCTGAGAACTATCAAAATGAAAACAAGATGCTTGATGGTACAATTTACTACACCAACACTTTTCAAAGGTTTGTTGAAAGGTTGAAGGCCACCTTTGAGTCAGGTGATCAAACCACCCTCACAATCTTGCATCTCTCAGATATCCAACAAGGCAAATGAGAACTTGAAGCATATATTGCAGAGTTTGTGGGGCTTGTGAACAAGGCTCAACTCAAGGAAGAATTGTGTGAAGCAGGGATCTTCTTCAGGAAAGGCTTGAATAAAGAATATTGTGACTGGGTTCTTAATTCTGGATGTGCCCCTTCCACAGTCATTGAGTGGATACAGTGTGCAGGAGAAGCCTGAACTGTGATTGCAACTGAAGCATATCCTAGAAGGGAAGGAATCTTGGTATGAATGCAAATTCATTCATTACTGCAGAGGTTCCCAAGATCCTGATGCAATGGACATTGACAAACACAAATGGAACATTAGACTGTTCCAGTTCAGAAATTAAGTGCTTCAATTGTGTAGCCAAAGGTCACATCAAGTGTGACTGTAAAGTCAAGGTCAAGACTCAACTGTCCAATGTCTGCATCATCCTCTTGGAGGACAGAACAAAGACTGCCTATGTCAGAGATTGTGAAGCAAATGTGGAGGAATGGAAGTTGTTGGGTTTTTAAAGGGGACTGATGAATCTCCTGCATCAGTCAGTCCCTGTTTCGATTTTGTCTGCTAAATGTACTTCTATAGATGAATGAATCGAATATGTGAATTTGCTCTCCTCTCAGGTTGGTCATTTTACCAGACTACAAGGCAGGAATATGGGCCTGTATTGACTCAGGCACTGAAGTCTCCCTCATCTTGGAGAAGATGGTCCAGAAACTTAGGATCCTGATGTATTGGGTGGAAAAGAAGTTCAAGACAACCTCATTCACTGGAAAGGATGAAGAGTGGGTAACCCACAAGGTAACCCTGAAAATGGAGATCAAGGAGCGCATTATTTGGGTCAAGTGTTATGTTGGACCCCTCGTCAGAAAAGAACATGTCCTTCTCAGGATGCTGTTCCTCAAGGAGTTCAAACCAAGAATGAACTGGGAAACTGGCAAAATTACATGCTGGGATGATGGGTATGTGTATCCTGAAGGATCTGACTATTTCGTCAAACAGGTAGTGCCAATTGGCATGGACAGTATGAAGGAACCTTCCAGTCTGTCCCTGGAAGTGGTAAAAACAGGCTTGGGTGAAACCCCCAAGGTTAAAATTAACAAAACTACTTTGTCTACAGACCTCGAGGCTGCCCTGGCAGCAAACAAGGAGGAAGTCAAGCTTCCCAAAACATACAAGGAGTTCACTAGGGTGTTCACAGAAGATGATATACCACTCCTGGCACATCAGCCAGGATTAGATCATGAGATTCAACTTCGTGAAGACTTCAAGCTGAAGAAAGCAATGGTATACCCAATGTCTCCTGATGAACTTAAAGTTTCAGATGAGTTCCTGGATGAAAATCTTAAATGCAAGAAAATTCGACTGTTGACTTTGCTGCAAGCAGCACTGGTATTTTTCGTTGCGAAGAAGGATGGAAAGAAGCAGCTAATTCAAGACTACCACTACCTTAATTTGTTCACCATCCTGGATGCACACCCATTGCCTAATGTGCAGGCTCTGTTCAATGAGCTTGTTGAATCCAAATACTACACCAAGTTCGACATCTGTTGGGGTTTTACAAACCTTTGGGTCA